TAGTTCGTCTTTGCTTTTTGCCATAAGGGTGCAGTCATCTGCATATCTGAAGTTATTGATATTTCTCCCAGCATTCTTGATTCTAGCTTGTGCTTTATCCAGCCCGGCATTTTGCATTATGTACTCTGCATTTAAGTTAAATAAGCAGGGTGACAATATACAACTTTAACGTACTACTTTCCCAATTTGGAACCAGTCCGTTGTTCCATGTCCAGTTCTAATTGTTGCATCTTTACCTGCACACCAGTTTTGCAGGAGGCAGGTTAGGTGGTCTGGTATTCCCATCTTTAAGAATTTTCCAGTTTGTTGTGATCCACACAAAGGCTTTAAAGTAGTCAATGAAACAGTAGATGTTTTTCTGGAATTTTCTTGCTTTTTCTTTGATCCAATGGATGTTGGCAATTTGATCTCTGGTTTCTCTGCCTTTTCTAGATCCAGCTTGAACATCTGGGAATTCAGTTCACCTACTGTTGAAGCCTAGCTTGGAGAATTTTGAGCATTACTTTGCTAGCATGTGAAATAAGTGCAATTGTGTGGTAGTTTGAACATTCTTTGTTATTGCCTTTCTTTGGGATTGGAATGAAAACTGACCTTTTCCAGTCCTGTGGCCACTGCTGAGTTTTCCAAATTTGCTGATCAATAGGAAAAGACAGAATCACTGAAGAGATACACGTCCTCACTAAAGATGATGCCAAAGGCCAATAACTTTATTATTAAGGAAAATGCTTCACCAGGCCATGTGGGCGCAGACATGTTGGAGCAAAGGCACAGCCACCCCATGAAACTGTTGGGCAGTGTCCTCTAGAGCTGGACAAACACTCCAAGACTGCCACGAGAAAGGTTCCAGAATGTTCATAGCATCACTCTTTGTAATAGCTGCAAACTGCAAACGACCCACATGTCCTTCCACAGGAAGTGATGCAGTGGGACCTCCCTCCGCAGCGAAGCGACCAACAGGGCCCCAGTGCAGAGCCTGGTGAGGAGCAGGGAGTGGACCGTGGGATGGAAGGAACACGGACAGCAGGGGTCCCGCTGTCTGTCCCGCTCCAGCGCAGAGCTCCTGAAAGCCTGGGAATTTCTTCTGAGAGCACAGGGCCATCTTTTGTTCTAATGAGGCTCCTGTAAGGGCTGGTCACCAGAAAGACCAAGCCTGATTAGAAGCTTCGACTTCTCTTGAGAAGGGAGAGGAGCTGAAAATGGGGCTAATAAGAGGTTATGCCTTTGAGGAAGCCTCGGCAAAATCCCACACTGATGCATGGAGGCGTCCTTGCCCCCTGCCGCCCAGCCCTGCCCATCCCCCATCTGGAGCTCATCCATATCCTTCATCGTGTAGATGGGTGTGTCCTCAGTCATGTCTGACTCTTTGTGACCCCATGGACTGTAGCCCGCCAGACTCCTCTGTCCATGGGATTATCCTTCAGCAAATCATCAAATTTTATAATGAACTGGTGAGTGTTAGTGATGGTTTCCCTGAATTCTTTGAGCTCCTCTAGCAAATTAATTGAATTCAAGGGGCAGGTGGTCATGGGAGCCTCTGATTTGGACCCAAGTTAGACAGAAGTGGTGGGTGATTTGGGGACCACTCTTTGCCATTGGCACCTGAAGTTGAAGGCAGTCTGTGGGACTGAGCCCCCTACCCAAGAATCTCCAGATACTATCAGAATGAACCTGTGGGACACCCAGCTGGTGTCACCAAATTGCCTGGCATAAGAACTTCCCCCACCACTTTTGGTGACCAGAGTGTTGTGGTCTGTGTGTGGATTGGAAAAGGATTTCCAGACATGAGGCAGAATGAGAGGAGAATAAAGTTTATTAGAGTGGGAGATGCTGTTAGGTCAGCAGGCTGGTTCAAGGGACAGTTGATGTTGAACAGGGCTCCTTAGTCCATTTTTATAGCTGGGGTTCAAGGAGCGGGATGGGGTCTTGTGGGTCATTTGCTGATTGGATGAGGCAAATGGAGTCCGTAGGTCCTCAGGAGGACCTGAAATTTATTAATAGTTACTACACGGGGGAGGGAAGGATGATAAGGGCCTGTCTGCTCCCACATTCCAAGACCCTCCTTGGTTTTTTATCTGTTATTTCATCCTTGGGACACGGCACAGAGCAGTGTTTTGTGTGAGCAGTCTGGCAGGAGAGACACAGAAGGGTAACCTGGGTTTTCTCCATACTCAGTGATGAGGAAACGCCCCGGGCCAGGCTTGCCCACCCGGGGTGGCCGGGGCAGCCGAGAATGCTGCCTGACCTTGCTTTTCCTGGGTGTCTTGGTCTCCTTCACTCAAAGACTCAGTCCTCGTGGTCCCCACACCCCATCGCCCCCCGTCCCCAACCTGCAGACCCTCCTCAGAGGGCCCCCTCCTCTCCACTCTAGGTCCTTCTTATGATGTGCTGCTGTCAGAAATGATCCCATTTACCCAACCAGATGCTCACTGTCCGGCCCCCTTACTCCCTCCTCTGTACCCCAGCAGGAGGGGTGTGTGTCACTGTACCTGCCTGGGGATAGGCAACACTAGCCTTGAGGGCAGGATGGCTCTGTTCAGTTCAGTCGCTCAGTCATGTCCGACTCTGCGACCCCATGAACCGCAGCATGCCAGGCCTCCCTGTCCATCACCAACTCCAAGAGTCCACCCAAACCCACGTCCATTGAGTCGGTGATGCCATCTAACCATCTAGTCCTCTGTCGTTCCCTTCTTCTCCTGCCCTCAATCTTTCCCAGCTTCAGGGTCTTTTCAAATGAGTCAACTCTTCGCATCAGGTGGCCAAAGTATTGGAGTTTCAGCTTCAACATCAGTCCTACCAGTGAACACCCAGGACTGATCTCCTTTAGGATGGACTAGTTGGATCTCCTTGCAGTCCAAGGGACTCTCAAGAGTCTTCTCCAACACCACAGTTCAAAAGCATCAATTCTTTGGCGCTCAGTTTTCTTTATAGTCCAACTCTCACATCCATACATGACCCCAGGTTTGCCACTTAACTAGCTGTGTGGTTACGGACCAGTCACTCACCCTCTCTGTATCTTACCAAGCTCCTCCTGGCACCCCTCTCAGGACAGACACATTTTGGAAAAGTGCTCAGAGGGCTGAGCAGGGTGGTGCCTGCAAGGGGTTGTTGTTCCCAGAAGCCATGTCTCCTGCCCAGCTCCTCCTGGTGACCTGTGGGTGGCAGCACTAGACCCCCGTTCTTGGAGAGACAGCCTGCTTGCCACCCCCATCCTGGGCTCTGCCTGCAGGAGCCTAGGTCAGGAGAGATGCTGGCAGGAGTGACTGGCTCCCCCTGACCACTGGCAAGCACTTCCATGTGGGTGTTCTACTGAGAGCCCACCTGGGCAGGTTCACGACACTGCCAGGGGACGGGCCAGATCAGGGAGGTGCCAGCCCTAACCCAGGTCAGTGGTGGCCAGGTCCAAATGACCTCTAGGAACATTCCGGGACCCTCATTTCTGGGTTCATCACTCTCTCACTCCCTCTGTTCCCCAAAGGCATCAGGGTAAAGCCCTAAGACCCAGAAGCTTTCGGATTGGTCTCGGGGGGCTTCCAGCAGGTGAGGAGACAGGAGGAGCAGGGGTCTGAGTCTTCACAGTGGGTGGGGCCACTTTAGGAGGAGAGAGCAGCCTTCAGCCAAGATGGACCACAGAGTGGCCTTCAGTTTAGGAAAGGGAGGCCCCGGCGGGCCAGACTGTTGGTCAGCATTCTCTGACCGGCATTTGACCTGACCAGGAAGGCATCCCTCACGTAGCTGGAAGCCCCTCAAATGCCATCTATTTGTGGCCTGGACCCTGCTGCCTGGCAGGAGACATGTGACCATGGGGCTGTGGTATTTTTGGCAATGGGGGTGGGGCCTGTGTAGCGAGCCCTGCACCATGCCGCTCTGGGACAGGCAGCTCGGACGCCCAGCTCCGCTGCCCCGGCTGGCTGTGGGGTCCCAGGTACAGTACTGTCAGCCCCTCATTCCCACCCTAATGGGTCCCAAAGGAGACAGCCCCTACAGGGGGCTTCCCTAGGACCAGACAGGAGGACAAGGGGCAACAGGTCAGGAAGCCACGGTGCCCTGGTCTCAAGGCACCTCCATCGCAGGACTGGTCTGGCCAGTGGCCTCCCACGCCCTGGGTCCAGCGGTACCTGACCAAGGGCCAAAGGGCAGCCTCCCATCGGGGGCTGAGAGGTTAGGGGCTCCCAACCAAGAAGGGTTGCCTTGGCTCAGTGAGACGCAGGGAGGAGGGCTTTGTCAGCTGGGCAGGTCTGGGTCAGGGGCACAGACTCTGATGGTGGCCCCAGGGGGCCGGTGGGAACCAGGAGGCTCATTCTGGTCTGGGACCTCCTGCTCAGGTAGGGGCAGAGCCAGGCTCTCCCTGATGACTCCCTGAGTGGGGTCTGGCAGCACTGGTGTGACCTTGGTAGGCTCAGAAGAAGCCCGGCAGCCTGTCCCAGCCAAGGCTGGTAGAAGGTCATCCCTAAAGACTGGTCACCTGCTGGACACCACGGCCTTTCCCCCCGTGGCCAGTTGCCACCTGGGGCATGTTGGGACAGTCCAGGACTATCACTCAGGTGAACTGAACCCTAGTGGGTGGTCCTTGAAATGGGCTTTGCTGTGTCGAGTTGGTACTAGCAGCTCTGCAGGAAAGCTGAAGGCTGCCTCAGCTGAACAGAGAACACACACCTTGAGGAGGGAAACTTCTCCTGGGGATGAGGAGCCTTGTGTTTTAGTGAACTTCACTGACTCTAATGCAGGACTGTAGCAACATGTCCTTGTAACATTACCATTTGCGCTCAATTCGGAAGCAGGGAAAGCGGGAGTTTTGGATGCTCCAACTCCAGGAAAAAGCACAGCTTCTCTCTGGACTCTGTTTGTTCTGCTCTCTTTCAGTACAGAAATGGAGGGCTGGCTTCTGGGCCACGGAAACCCGAGGGGGCAGGTGGGGTGGTGGCAGTGAGTGCGGGCCAGGGCCCCGGGCCTGGGTCTGTGAAGTACCTGGTCTGTGGCTCACGTGCCTCTGCTGACCCAGAATGGAGAACTTCCAGTACAGCGTCCAGCTGAGCGACCAGGACTGGGCTGAGTTTTCAGCCGCCGCTGAAGAGTGTGGCCTCCTGCAGGCCGGCCTGGCCTCTGGGGATGAACCCTTGTCTAGCGACACTGACCAAAGGGACAGCAGTGGCAGCAGTCCCCCAGGACCCTCACCCCTTCTCGAGGGGCAGCTGGCTCATGGAGGAAGTAGCTGGCCCAGCTTTGAGGAGGAGGACAAGGCCGCCACCCGGCAGCTGGTCAGCAGGTCTTGGCACGAGCCCATGCTGGCCCCAGAGGCCGGTCAGCAGACGCCCAGCACGTCCGCACGGTCAGAAGCTCGGCTGTCCCTCAGCTCTGGTGCCACCCCTCTCATCCAGGGCTCATCCCTCCCGGGGACAGTGTCTTCCAGAGACGAGATGCAGAGGCTTCTGCAGGGGCCAGCCCCCCGGGGCCCTGCCCCTACTTCCGTTGGTGAGCCCGCTGGGAGTCCTGAGTCCCCTGGCCGCAGTGCTGCCCCCCAGAGGTCCCCTGGCAGCCCTGGAGCCCCGCCAAGAAGCCCTGGCCGAAAGAAGAGGCGCACTGCAGGCACCAAAGCGGGTGGGCACTCGGGTGGCCCAGGCCCTGCTGCCACCCAGCTGGGTTCGCCACTGCTCACAGAGGCCAGGCCTGAGGACAGCCTTGGCCCTGCTGGGTCCAGGGGGAAGGGTCTCCCAGCAGGAGCAGCAAAGCAGACAGGAGGAACTGGGCAGATTGAGCTGGGGCCAGAGTCTGCAGGAGCCCCCGAGCAGGTGGCCAGACAAGGGCCAGGTGTGGACCTGTCTATGTCTGTCCCTACTACTGAGCAGGGAACAGACCGACTTGGAATGAGCCCCAGAGCTGAGCCATGCGCTGTGTCCATGTCTGACCCAGAGGCTCCTCTAGATGTCACGACTAAGTCAGACGTGGCTCTATCCACACCTGCCTCCGAACCTCTACCCGCTGAGTCTCAGTCTATACCTGCCTTCAACGCTCAACCCAATGAGCCTCAGTCCACACCCACCTTCAGTCCTCAACCCACTGAGCCTCAGCCTACACCCGCCTCTGAACCTCAACCCGATGAGCCTCAGTCTACACCCGCCTCTGAACCTCAACCCGATGAGCCTCAGCCTACACCCGCCTCTGAACCTCAACCCGATGAGCCTCAGCCTACACCCGCCTCTGAACCTCAACCCGATGAGCCTCAGCCTACACCCGCCTCTGAACCTCAACCCGATGAGCCTCAGCCTACACCCGCCTCTGAACCTCAACCCGATGAGCCTCAGCCTACACCCGCCTCTGAACCTCAACCCGATGAGCCTCAGCCTACACCCGCCTCTGAACCTCAACCCGATGAGCCTCAGCCTACACCCGCCTCTGAACCTCAACCCGATGAGCCTCAGCGTACACCCGCCTCTGAACCTCAACCCGATGAGCCTCAGTCTACACCCGCCTCTGAACCTCAACCCGATGAGCCTCAGTCTACAGCCACCTTCAAGTCTAGACTGGATGTGGACCTGCTTGTGCCGGGCCCAGTGGTCCAGCCAGAGGTGGATTCATCTGTGCCTGCCTCAAAGGCTGTACCATGCACAGCTCTGCCTCATCTTGTGCTCGAGGCTGGATCTGATGTGGGTGTGTCTACACCACCTGCTCCCACACCCCAGGCTGGGCCTGACATGGTGGAAGCAGAGGTTGCTCCCGTGGCCAAGCTGGGTTTGAGCCCTGTTCAGTCTCTAGAGGGGCGCCAACAGAAGCCCAGAGGGGAGCCCTCAATAGATGACTCTGGACACCACACTGGGGAGCCCCCTCTAGGCTCCATCCAAGCACCCAAGAAGAAGAAAGTGCGATTCTCCATGGCTGTGCCCAGCTCCGAAGAGGCAGGGTCAGAAGAGGCCTCAGGCCCACCCTCTCCAGCCACAGCCCCCAGGATAGCAGCTGGGGGCCACAGAGGCTCTGGAGCCTGGGACTCTGTGGCAGTTGGGCCCCGGAGCCCCCAGCCTCGGATTCTGAAGCACCTGCCCCCCCCTGCCCCCTCTGCCTCTGTGGGGACAGGGCCCAGGAGCTGCTTTGCGGTGACCCTCCCGGAAGCCTATGACTTCTTCTTTTGTGACACCATTAAGGAGGAAGACGAAGAGAATGAGGGGACAGCAGAGGCTGCCCAGGCTCCAGCCGAAGTCCAGTGGCCGGATGTGTGTGAGTTCTTCTTCCAAGACAGCCAAGCCCAGAGGTTGGAGCACCAGGAGGGCCGCTCCGAGGCCCCACCCCTACAGGCTGGGCCTGTGCTGGCCCCTCCACCTGGAGACCCCATGCCAATCTCCATCCCTGAGGCCTATGAACACTTCCTCGATGAGGACAGGTCAGGGGGCACGCTGGGGCCAGCCGCCCTTCTCCAGGTGCAGGCCACAGAGCCCCCCAGGTCAGTCCTCTGGGGAGTGGGGACTGGCGCCCCACCAGAGTCCGGCCCAGCCACAGTGGAACAGCTCACCCTGGCCATCAGGGAAGCAGGTGTGTGTTGCAGGGGCCTCCTGCTCTGTCTAGGACCTGGGAACACACTGTCCAGGGAGTTCAGCCAAGAGGGCCATCGGGGAGGGACAGGCCAGGATCCTGGGTTGTGAGCTGGTGGGGGGACCTCAGGGATGATCTCTCAGGAGGGGCTCCTCCCCCTGCCCCTCCCCCACTCCCAGGAGACAGTCCAGGTGGGGCAGCCCCAGCCGGGCAGGGGTTGGCTCCTAAGTGGCTGTCACCTTGGGTTCAGCCCCAGACAACTTGGGGGCAGCCCCAGCTCCGTCTCCACTGCCTGCAGGTCAGGCTCACATTCCCTCTAGAAGATATTTTACAAACCAGGAAACAGCGCGCCAGATGCACTCGCCCAAGTCAGCCTGACTCAACTATGCCACACACTACCCTGGGTCTTGGGACAGAGGTGTCACAGGAAGGACATGACTCAGGATAGATGTGACCAGGGCAGGTGTGTCTGAGTGGGGGAGCAGGAGCTCAGGCCATGCTTCTCTTTCCCAGTGGCACCCCGGGGTCCCCTCACCTCGTTCACCTTCAGCCAGAAAGACATGTGCATGGTGTTCGTAGCCTTTGCTACCTGGGCTGTGAGAACATCAGACCTGCATGCCCCAGATGCCTGGAAAACAGGTTTGTGGGGCCAGGGTGGGGTGGGCTGTTGTCCAGAAGTCCAGTGGAGGGGCAGTGGTGTCCAGTCCCAGCTTCTGGGCTAGCAGGGATGAGAGGCCCATGGGGAGGTGCGGGTTTCTCCCCTGACTGATTTCCTGCATTGCGGACCCACCCTCGCTCTGCCAGCCTGCCCTCGTCCTTTGAGAGTCAGCCTGTGTGGATGGAGGGTGGTGACCAGGCCAGAACAGAGCCGGCACTCAGGAGGTCTGTGCTTCTCTTGCAGTTCTGCTGGCCAACATTGGCACCATCTCTGCCATCCGATATTTCCGTCGGCAGGTGGAGCGGGGCCGCCACAGCCGCAGTCGCAGCCCCAGCCCCAGCTCTAGCCCCAGCCCCTAGGACCCAGACTCGGCCCAGGAAGACGCAGGACAAGGAAATGTCCACAGGTGCTCAGGACAAGGCACTGCCCTCAGGCCTTGCCCTCTGACTGTTTGTGTTCTGCAGTGTCTAAGAAGGAGACTGCGTCCTTGGCCCCAGCTCCCCTGGACTCCACTGAGGGTCTGACCAGTGGCCGAGGCCAAGGCTGTGCTCCACACTTGGGAGCGGGGAGATTCTGGAAGCCTGGGTAGGTAGGGGCTGAGCAGGAAGCTGGTTAGTAAGGTGGCCAGGTTAGCAATAAAAAACATAGGGCGTCCGATGAAACCTGAATCTCAGACACTCAGGATGAGTCCCACTTATGCTAAGGAAATGTTTGTGGTTTATCTGAAACCAGAATTAACTGGAATCCTCATCCGATGTGGTTATGCTTCTGGAGGGAGGGCCACGACCGGGCACTGGAAGTTAGAGAGGTTCAGAGAAGCAGCAAGGCCCCAGCAGGAGATCCGGGCGGGGGGAAAGGGCAAGGAGGCAGAGGGCCTCAAGGCTGGGGGGTGGGGCGGTGTCCCAGCCTCTGCTCTGTTTACAAGAGGATAGGCCAGTGGAGGCCTCTGAGGCCTCTCTGACCCCGGAACCCCAAGGGTCTGACCAAGGCCTCCTTGGCTACTGCCTGAGATGGCGAGCAGGTACCCAGAGGGATAGGGGTCTGTAGGCAGGGCCCGGAGCCCCACCTCGGGGGCGCCCTGGAGGAGCTACAGAGACGGAAGGCAAGGGTATTGGGTGGGGGGACTGGACACCTGGCTTCGCCCAGGGCTGAGAGGAGCTGGAGATGGGACAGGAAAGTGGGCGGGGCACAGGCAGTGGTGGAGCAAGGGGGGCTGGGGGGGTGTCCAGCCCTGGAAGCAACACATGCAGGGTCCCCAGGACGCAGGAGACTACTGGCTGCTGAGGACAGGACGCGTGGACACACAGCACCAATAAAACCTCCTCTTTCCTTCCTGTTTGGTCTCTTGCCAGTTTCTCCCGACCAGTTCATCCCACTCACACACACCCAGACCACCCTCCTCCCTCTGCTCGTCATGTCTCAGACCTTTCTGACCTCCGACTCTTGTGCCCTCTGATTTCACATACTCTGACCCTCGCTAACCTGACTTTCTCAGCCCTCCGACCTTTATGCTTGTGCCATCCTTCTTCCAGGTGAAGCTGCTGCCCCACGTCCCCTCCCTCATTCCTTCCCTGAGAGGCAGGCTGAGGTGTGGCCCCTCTGGGTGTCCTGTCACCTTGGCCAAGGTGTCCAGAGCCCAGGGTAACTCAGGGTTCTTGAGGCTCCCTCCACCTGCTGGGGTCAGACCCAGACTCAACACTGCCTGTGGCCCCACAGACAAGTCCCAGGTCCTATTGCGGCCCCTCCTCCAGGATTGATACAGGCAGGTGATCCCCAGAAGCAGCTGCTGGGGGCCATCAGATCCACTGGATGAGCCCCCGTTCAGGCTCTGGTGCTCCTCGAGGCCCCTGCCGCTGGGAGGGTGACAGAACTTCGTCCTGGACACTGCTGTAGCCCCTGGGGGGGCAGCCATCTGGTGGGGAGGGTGGACATGCATGTGTCTTCAGGAGGTGACACCCCAAACTCTCCCAGAAGGGGGCAGGGCCCTCACTCACCTGGAGGAGGTGGTGAGGGGTCAGGCGAAGCTTCTTTCTCAGGGGAGACCTGGGGACCCCAATCACAGGTCTGAGAGATGGGGGGCTTGGAGACCAGTTCACATATCTGCCTGACCCCACCCCCTCCTTTTCCTTTTGGCCCCCACTTCCTCCCCACTGCTCCCTTCCTGCCACCAAGCCCAGTCCCTGGTTTCCACCCACCCCCTCTTCCCCTGTTTCCATCTCTCCTGCTCCCTCAGGGTCCCAGAAGGCTCCACGCGGTTTCCTCTCCTCCACAGAACCCCGTGCCCAGGGTGGGAGCTGCTACTCACACGCCGAGGGGAGTCTGGGGGCCGGGGCCCCCAGCCCTTGCTGGAGGCACGATGGTGCCGAGAAGCTCGGGCCTGCGGGGCTGCCTTCTCAGAGAGGAAGTGGGGGCGGGAGAGTCCACAGCTGGAGTCAGAGACAGGCATGGACACGGGGACCGAGCGGAACGGGCTGGAGGGCTCAGGTCCAAGTGAGCTCTGCATCACGCTGAGGAACTGTGGGGAGAGCACTGGTGACCAAGGCCCCCTGAGAGGCCCCAGAACCCCCTCAGCCTCCCACAGTGGCCTGAGCAGACCTCAGGCTTCGGGTACCCTCTCAGCCTCAGGCTGTGGGCACACCAGCTCTGTCATCCAGCAGGGGACTGACCTCATCCAGGCTCTGGACGTCTGTGATCTTGCAGTGGGAAGTGGCAGGTGGCGTGTAGGGGTCAGCGTAGAGCGGGGAGTGGGGTGTCTCCAGAGAATGGTCTGGGGCCTCAGGGCTGCCGTCCAGCCTCAACTACCGGCAAGAGACAGGAGACATAGCTTCCTGGGGCTGGAAGCAGCCAGGCCCTTCCTTCTCTGTGCCAGAGGCCTCTGGTGGTTTCAGGACTGAAGAGGCCAGGGAAGTGGAGGGTGGGAGGGAGCGGAGGGTCATGCCCAGAGCCGGGGTCAACATGCTGGCCCACCTTGGTCAGATCCAGGTGTAGCAGGGTGGCTGGGCCAGGCTTCTCAGCCCGGGCCTTGTTCCTGGGTGATCGGCTGCTGCCGCCCCGTCTCAGCTTTGCCCTGTGCCCACCGACGCTGGTGCAGCCAGGGTTGGCTTGCTCCTGTGGGGACCAAGGACCTTCCAGAAGGTTTCCTGGGGCCTTCTCCCACACAATGGTCTGAAGCTACACAGAGTCCCTTCCCCTGAGGAACTAGGGTCCTACTTGCCATGAGGTCCCCAACACAAACTTGCCTCATGGTCCCCTGCCCCCTCTGCCCATTACCCGCCCTCCCAGATACTCACTGGTGGGGGCCGGGCCGGGCAGCCTGCAGTGGATGCTGCTGAGGACTCAGGGAGGGAGTGGCTGGTGCAAGTGGAGGGGGGTGCCGGGCACCCTGAGTCCCAGCTGGTCCGTGCATCAGAGGAGAGTGAGCCTCGGCCACTGACCACAACCTGGGCAGCCGGCGAGGGGTAGGGGTGAGCCAGGTGGCAGGAACCCGTCCCCACCTCCCCGTGCCCAGGCCCACCCGTCTGTTTTACTGCTGCCCGGCAGCACCTAACCTGCTGACTCCTTACCTGTGTGGATGCCCGCATCCCCGGGAGGCTCTCAGGGCCGGGTGGTGGGGAGGCCCTGTCCCCGTGGCAGACTGTCTGCAGGCAGAGCAGCCAGTGGCTGTAGTCCTCATAGCTGGCACACACCACACGGATGGTGTTGATGAGACGGCCTGGTGCATGGATGCTGTGAGGGGGCCTGGCAGGCAGGGTGCTCCCTGCAAGGCCCGATGCAGAGCTGGGTGCCCACCCGGGGGCCACAGCCCCTCTCCCAAGCCTGGTTGTCACCCACCTTCAATCAGGAAAGAGCGGATCTGCTTCTCCCTCTCTTCCAGGTTGATGTGGATGGCGCTGAGCGGGAGCTCCCCCTGCAGGGCATCAGCGGGACAGGGCCTGAGTCAGGCAACAATCCCCGACCTTCCACCCCCGCGAGCCCTCCCGAGTTGGGTGAGCAAGTGGACGCCAGGCAGAGGGCAAAGCAGGGCTGAGGCCAACACCTTGAGGGAGGCCAGGCACATCCTGTCTGTCCTAGAGGGGTGTCTTCACACAGGCTCCAGGTGGGGCTTTCTCCAGCCAATGTCTGATTCAGGACTGGTCGGGGACTGGTACCCTGGGCCACCCACTAAGATGGGGGTGGGTGGGAAGGGATCACGAGGAAGCCCCCTGTATTTCTCGATGACTGAAGGCCATGATCACCCCCAGAGTAGGAGGTACCCTGATGCACAGGATGGACCCTCACACCATGCCTACACCCACGCATGCACACACACACACAAGCTTCAGGCACCAGGAAGATGCCTGCTCAGAGATACAGGCCTTCCAGGAGCACTGTGGGCCCCATGCCACCCCCAGGTGACTGGCCTGCTGGTGGCTGTGGACTTGCTAGCATGATACAGGGTGCTGAGGCAAGGTGCCCACCCTCCTTGCCCACGTCAGGCTGAGACCAGACTGACCAGGACAGCAGGCTCGGTGGGTGGGGCCACTTGTCCCAGCAGGCCCCAACATACAGGTTCCTCCTGAGCCACTGCCCCCTCCCACCCCCACGTGCAGGGCACCTCCCTGGGGCGGGTCTGCAGCGGGGAGGGACCTACCTTAAAGCAAAGCCCATCTGCTTCCTCGGAGAAGATGGCCAGGGAGGTTGGGTACAGGACAAGAAGCCGGTCCCACTGCTCCTGCAGGGAGGTCACAGGGCGCAGTGGGGTCTCCGCTGGCATGCGCGCAGGGCCTGGCCCCATCTGGAGCCTGCACCCTGCCCCCACCTCCTCCCACCTCTGTGCCCCCACCTGTAAGGGCAGATGCTGCAGCTTGACCCTTGAGGCACAGATGGCACTGCCCATCACCTGGCGCCCTGATGCTGTCCGCAGCCGGGTTAGCCTGCGCTGCAGAGTCCGGGGGAGCGCGTCCTCAGCGGGGCCCTGGGAGGAAAGGGTCAGGGGCAGGTGGAGGAGGCAGAAGGGGAAAGGGGTGCAGGCTTCCCAGCACTGACCTGCAGGGGCTCTGGGGGGCAGCGAGGCACCCCTCCCACGAGGGCTATCTGCTTCTCCAGGTGGTAGAGCCAGTGGTCCAGCTCGGCCTGGCTGGGGCAGAGCACGAGAAGTGGGGCGGGCAGCGGGCCTGTGCGGGAGGGACAGAGCTTAGGGCTTAGCCCACTAAGCCAGGGGCCCACAGGAGAGGCTCCTCAAGGGTTGGCAGGAGCCACTGATGACCACATGCGCAGCTCTGGAGGCCCCCAGTCCACTGTCTTCCACCTCAGCCTGGCACTGCACATGTGCCCATCAGAGGAAAAGCCAGGACCCTGCAACGTGCTCAGAGTCCCGCCA